CATGAACAGGATTACTGGAAGAAGCCAGAATAATCTTCAACACAGGGGATGTGTGATGAGTCAAATCTGGTCAAGTGATGTATATGTACAAAATTCTGAATAAACTGGAGTCTGATAATAAAATTAACAGGCAGTGTTGGGAGAATTTCCATAATGAAGTCTGTAATTTTCTGGAGATACTTCTCTAGATTGCTAACCGTGGTTCAGACAAATAACGAGACAAAAGAATCACCTTTTTTTTCACAGGGCTCTGTGTGTTTTTCACAGGGCTCTGTGAAAAAAACAGATACATCCTGTAGCAAGATTTTGGGAGACCAACATACAGTCTGCTGTGCAGATGTTCTTTTATTGACTTACCTATTTTGGTGTCAAGGCTTGAGGAACTCTCATGCTCTGTATAACCCTTTTAAGTCCATGTCCACTAGCTTAAATAAAGACCATGGAATGATCTAAATACAGTAACAAAGATCCATTTTTTTCAGAGGTACATAAGATGTAAATTGGCAAATGGACACTGAGTGTAGGTTTTAGATATCTTTCATTTTTTATACTAGTATTTGAAAGATGGTATTTCTCAGAATAATGTGAGAAGGCTTGGAACATTGATTTATTCCTGTTGCGTTCTGTAAATGACTCCAAATTGCAGTAATTTAGAAATCTTAAGGTTCTTTCTATATCTGGATTTGTGCATTCAGCAAGCTTTTAGTACAAATATATGAATCTTTGGTAATTACTTTAATTCATGAATAGAACTTTAACTGAGCTGAATGCATGAATGTACCTTACAGTGTTCAGGCTTTGTGAGGCATTTCTGCTAAATCGGCTTATGAATTTCCTTTTGATGAGCTTAATTGATGACAGATTTTTCAAAAGCTAGCAACAGCTTGCTTTGCTAGCTAGTATTCACATGAACTGGATAGTCTTGTGAAGTCCTTTATTCAATTTGCATAATATTTTGCTTCTACTGTAAGACAAAGTGAAATCCTTTGTAGTGAACCTAACAATATTAGACATATGAAAAGCACCAATCCTAATCAAATAAAAAAAACACTGAAAAATCACCCTCCAGCTTTTTCTTCAGGACCTTAGATTATGTAAGGCTAATTTATTTATTTTTTATTATTATTTTTTTTTCCCCAAAGGAATATTCTGAAAAAAAGGTCCGAAATAATAAGGTGTTATATCCCATTCAGTGAAGATATTTTCCTGGTTACTTTAGCACATCTCTAAGTGTATTTTTCATTTAAGACCCTTCAAGTCACAATGCATTGCAAGTACAAATATATTTGTACATTAAATCAACAAAACTAGGAAACTTTTTTGTCCTTTTGCATGAAACAGACAAATTCTACATCTTATTATATCCAGAGGTTTGTATTGCTTGTGCTAATGTGTTAAAATTTCTACCTTTGCGTACTATCTGGGGAGTATAGGTTAGAAGAGAATGAAATTTAAGCTAAACAGTGGGATCTCTAGCCATAATCATGGTTGTGGATATCTGAGGGTAGTGAAGCATGCAGAAGCCTCGAAAATAACTGACCTGTTTTCCTCCAAACATTTCTGAAGAATTCTTGTCCGTTAATAATGCCTTAAAAGTAATAAAGACTGAGATCTCTGTATTCTAGCCAAATGAGGCCACATCCTACAGTCCTTGCTTTGTGTTTAGTGGCGTAAATTTCCCATTTGCTTATGATAGGATGGGGACTGAGAACTGGGTAAGGGTGGCAGGATGGGAATTGGTTTGTCACCTCTGACAGTGCGTTTGCAAACTGCTAGAACCACAAATGAGCTCAGTGTTTAGCAAGATGGTGGATGCCAGCATGAAGCTTGGAAGTGCCAATTTTAATTAAAAACTGCATTTTCAAATCAAGTTCCTAGTTAACAATGGGTGGGAAATTCTTCCCACCATATAAACTTTCTGAATGCTCTGTTGACTGGCAAGATGGGTGCAGCTTCTCCTTCCACGAAAGTGCTGCTACCATCATCTTCCCTCTCACCTCCCCCCACCAGAAGAAAAAGACTACATTGTTCGCGGAAACTCTCCTTGTTCATGCCCTGCATTTAGGCCAGGACAGACAGATTTTATTTTGTCTTCCCCACCCCCCTTCCTTCGCTGTTAACAATAGAGCAAACACATGAGATTAACATGGCTCTTGACATGGCTCAGTTGTTTGCCATTTGGAAACTACTGATTCTTCAATTGTATAATTGTAAAAAAAAAAAAAAAAGTATCAAAAGATTCAGTCATTTTCTGTTTATTCCAAAGATGGGGAGAACAGAGTAATAGGGGAGAGATGGGGGAAGCCAACAACAAAAAACAAATTAGTTTAAGAACCAGCATGTTCCCCTTACTTTAAGGAACACAGTAAACATTTCAAAAGTGCATGCCAGCTCATTATCTAACTTGGTCTTCATTGACTTCATGAAAAACAGCAGCAGTTAAGCAATGTTTGCCAAAAGCAAATTTGGGTACATGTATTGCTAAAAAAATGTGACACCCGCTCTATACAGGTTCCTTAATCTGTCACACAGAGGCAAATCAACATTTCATCATTATCCTTTCTTTCTGTTATTTAGCCCTTTGATGATTGCTCTTCTAGTCTGTTTTGAGCATTGTTTATGCAAAATTCTGGTATGACCTATGACTTGAATAGTTGGCCAGAAACAAACATCTCCAAGTGTTTAAAGATGTAGAGACAGCTTCAGTAATATAATCTGGTCTGCAATATCTTTTAGAAAATATCTCTTTTACAAAGTTTATTGTTTGAAAAATCTTAAATGGCATGGGCTGTTTATGAATTCCTTCTTTAGTAAAATTTAAGATTTAGTTTGTTATTAATTTCACTTGCATTTGAAAAGAGCATTCTTTTTTAGTTTATGAATACAATAGGTAGCTGCCATTTTCAGTCCACTTGATGTGTACTTGCAATTTGCAGTTATATTACTGAAATTATTGTGACAAAGAATTTGAATATGCCATATATTCAAATATATATATTTTTTAATTGTGATAACAAATGATACAGTGCATTCCATGAATTCTTCCATATGGATAAATTACTTATTCTTTGGTAAACTCATATCTCTTTATGTCCAAAGCACATAAATTCATAAATATTTTTAATCCTATTGAACTTAGTTTCCCTTGGGAATTACTTTTTACTTAACGGAAGTGCAAGAATTTGTTGAACAATTGTTTTATTAAATAGTTTAAAGAACATTTATTTTGAAACCATGCAGGCTTTTCCCATAGTCCTTACGTTTTCTAGTATGCACGTTATTGTCTTGTGTGCATTGATTTCTCTCATCAAAATTAAAAGAACATTTTAGCAAGCTGTGTTTTGCTTTGTAATCTATGTGCTCCTGTCACATGTTTAAAATTCAGAGTTGCTGTGTAGTTGTGATAATCAGTTATTTTATTCCAACATACATCATACTCTTACTTGTTATGAGTAAAGGGTACGGACATTGAATAAAATCTTAAAAATCTTTTTTTTTTTTTTTAATATACAGTTTCAGATTTTTTTCTTAATAAAAAAACACTTCAATTCAGAATTTCTTAATGAAGTGGGACATTCTGTTGGTAGAAAACAATGCCACTTTCTTATGTTTTTTGAAACATTTATCTCATTTTCCTTTGGGGAAAAATAAAACAGCTGGTGAAACTAGGATTTCAAAATGGAAAAAAAGAATGCTTAAATAAACTTCCATTTAACATTTTATCAAAAGCTGGAAAAAGCTGGTGAAATTTAAATCTCCTCATCTTCCATATTTCTCCCCCTTTTTAAATATTCTCTTTGATATTGTTGCAATTTTAAATTGTCATGAGGACCAGGTGACAGAATACAGGTTTTCCTTCTCTCTCTTTCTCTCTCTCTTTTTTTTTTTTTTTTTTTTTTTGAAGTAGTTATGTCCAAAACAGAGTATATCAGCATGTTCCAATATTTATTTCAGGTTTTTCTTTGTTGTTAAGCAAAGATTGCTTCACTCCTATGGCATGGTTACTTCAGTCGTCGCAGTACAATCTGGAAAGTATATTGACATGAAAAATCAAAGTATCACACTTTGAGAGCAGATTTTAAACAGAAGTAGAAAGGACATGGCACTGTCTGTAGAAATAACTGGACCTTGACTATTAGTGTTGGTCAAGGAAATGTCAGAGGAAGAGCATAAGGGCAGAAATACAATCAGACCAAAGGTCCTAGTACCTTGTATCTGATAGCAGCCAGCAGAATATGTTTATGAAATCTAAGAAACAGGACAAGTATGGAGTGATTCTTCCTGCTTCTATACTTTCCCAGCTTCTGACAGTCAGCAGTTTTGGGACTCCCTGTGCTGAAGTTGCATCTTAACCATTGTTTTTATGAACCACTGAGTGCAGAAGCAACAATAGGAACAATGGATCACTGTTCAGCATCAGTGGCAACTGCACTTAGAAATAAGTAACAGTGCCACTTCAAAACGCTTGACATGGACAACAGAAACAGAAGAGCCAGGAAATTATAGCAGTACTAAAGCCACACCCATGGCCGGAGGCAACATCTCACAGCTCCTCCAAGTTGTAAACTTCTCTGGAGCTGAGAATCCCTGCCGTGCAGAGAGGTAGGAGCCAAGCTCACCATTATATAAAGCAGCAACTCATGCCCCTGTGGGATCTTAATGGGACATGGTGTCTTGTTCTTCAATGTAAGGGTTCATCCCTCTGTGTTCCTGCTGAGATTTTTGTATGGTGAGAGTTGGGTGACCCTGCCTCATATCAATATAAGATGCCACCAGTCAGCTGACCTCTGGTTAAGAGAGACTTCCACATTCTCTCAGAGTCACTGTCTAGTTCCTGTTCAAACATCTGTCCTATGTAGGATGTAAGCAATCCCGTGTTATTTCCTCTGACAACCTTCTTTGGTGGCTGTCAGCAGGTCTTCCCAGTAAGTAAGTCTGCAGTAGTCTTCATGCACAGTGCTTGACCTTGTATGTGATCAGCTGCATGTTTCTTTCCACAGCAAAGCATTTGGAAAATGACAGAGCCTGAAGAAAAACGAAATTCAAAATCAAGAGTAGTCTACAAGCTCCTTCTCAGCAAGCCTGTCTGTTAGGAGTCATGACTTCACATGATGCAGTGACTCCTGCTAAGTTTCTGTGAGTATTTTGCATTCTGCACTTCTCCCTGCAAAGTCACAACATCCTGAGACACAAAATAGAAGGTCCTGTCTGTTGTGAGCACTGCACAGAACAGGAAGGCAGCTGTAGTGGATAGGAGCTGAGCAGTGATTGCGTTGCAGGTAGCCCCGCTGTGTTTTGGAGACAGCATTTGTACATTTGAAGTTTACTTGAGGATGCAGTCATATGCCAGCCTGGTTCTGAGCTGTTCCTTGCTGCATAAATAGCCCCTTTCATTTCAGTAGACTGCTCTGAGTGTAACCCAGCTACCAGAGTATAGTTGTCTGCCTATTCAGTCCTTCCTTGTTTTACTTAATTTTGCTTTTGTAAATATGTCATTGAACCCAACAAAAATTTTGCTTGGGTGAGGACTGTGTTAAGTCACCAGAAAATTTCAGAAACCGAGACCAGATAAGAATTAAAATGGTAACAATGCCCACAGTAATCACATTTGAAACCAGGTTTCACAGTAAGTCTCCTGCTTTCCTGCTATCAGTGATGTTATGAATGACAGACCTTGTTTCCTTTTGCAGTCCCATTATTTTTACTGTGTTCTTTATCTTTGTCTTTTGGAAAGAGCAGATAAAAACAAAACTTTGCTTTACATTTTTGCTTGAAGATAAATTGGAACGTTTTAACAGGCTAACTTTAAATGACTGTTTACTTTTGCAGTGGTCAGGGCCAGTACTCAGGGCTATGGCTACATGACTAAACTCTCGTGCTCCTCTTTAACAGTTTAGGGGTCAATGTTTCTGAAAGTGCAGGAAGGATGGTGCTGGTGCAAAGCAGTGTGTCTGCTGCCCACTTTGCCTAAGAGAGCTGCAAGAATGAAAGAACAAAAAGTGATGTGGGTCAGTCTCAGGTAGTGGCAGAGAGTCCCTTCCTTCCTTCCTTCCTTCCTTCCTTCCTTCCTTCCTTCCTTCCTTCCTTCCTTCCTTCCTTCCTTCCTTCCTTCCTTCCTTCCTTCCTTCCTTCCTTCCTTCCTTCCTTCCTTCCTTCCTTCCTTCCTTCCTTCCTTCCTTCCTTCCTTCCCTGCCTTCCTTCCTTCCTTCCTTCCTTCCTTCCTTCCTTCCTTCCTTCCTTCCTTCCTTCCTTCCTTCCTTCCTCCTTCCTTCCTTCCTCCTTCCTTCCTTCCCTTCCTTCCCTTCCTTCCCTTCCTTCCCTTCCTTCCCTTCCTTCCCTTCTCTCCTTCCTTTCCTTCCTTTCCTTCCTTCCTCTCTCTCGCTTTCTTTTTTTCTTTCTTGCAGATAAAATTCCAGTACCTGGTTAATTTAGACTATAAAATAATTCTTATGAAGCCAGAGCTGAACCACATGCTTCAAGTGTGAAGGACTGTTGCATTAAACCATTGTGCTACCCAGAGAGTTCAGTCAAATGAGGACAAGTTTCCAGCAGGTGCAGTTTCCTTTTAGAAAATTGATAGATGGTGCTTCTGCATTCTGTAATGTGCCAGTTTTAGTCTCTACAAAACACAGCTTGCATTCTGTTATAACTAGTAACAAATCATGCATCTGGAACAAAGAATATATCTGAGCAATATATTACATTTAACTGCAGTCTGGTTCAGATCCTCAGGTTCCTTTAAATTTAAACTGTGCAACAAATGTACTCCTAGTCTCTGTTTTTATCACTTGTATCATTTAACAAAGGTTGCAGTGACCCAGAGGAAGCTTAAGAGGAAAGTGATGTGGTGGACCTTGGAAATGGAGTTTATATGTGACGATGGTGGGCCTGAAGCCAGGCCAGCTCTCCTGCATGTCTTTTGTTCACAGTCTTTATTTTTCTGGGCTGGATTCAATCATGCAGCCACATCTATGGATGGGGCAGAATAGTAATTGTACATAGTAATAGTACATCTCTCTTCTCTGATGACTTTTTCAAAAGAATAATTTAAATTGTTTACTTTTTCTGTGGTTGGATTGTTAAATTAATAACAAAAATGTAGCCACTGTTAAAAAGAACAGTCTTCCAATGAATGTCTAAACAATTCTGTGCTTAATGACCACTATTTTGTCAAATCATCTTGTGATAATTTTTTCTTAAAGGGGATCCACCTGCTCACATCACCAGATTCCACACCATATTTTACATTTGTTTTTCATTTATTATTTTATCTGGTTAGATTTTGCTTACATAAAGGCTGCTTGATTAGACTGATGCAAAATGCTCTGGGAAGTGCCAGAAATGCTGGTGTAAGCTAGTATTCTTTTAATGGCTTTATAATGTTTCTATTTAATGTAGTGACCTTTATTTATTTATTTGTTTACAATCAGTTTATTTCAAACTAGTACAGTATGATATTCAGTAGAAATCTGTTAAGATCTATTAAGTGGTCTGTTGGTAACTTCTTTCATGGTTCAGAAATGCCAAAGCTATCCAATTTCCAAAATTTTCAGATATAAATCCTTGCTCTTATTATTAAAATTGAATTCACAGACATTTGTGCTATGCTTTATACCATCTTTTGCAATGAAGCAGAGTCTATCCATGAGGTAGCCATGTAAGTATCTAGCCAGATTTATAGGTGCTAGTGCTTCTAGGTGCAAAACTTATTGCTCTGGGGCCCCCAGCACAAAAAAGACATGCATGTATTAGAAAGAGTCTAGAGAAGGTCCACAATGATGATCAAGGGGCTGGAGCATCTCTCCTATGAAGACAAGATGAGGGAGTTGGGGTTGTTCAGCCTAGAGAAGAAAAGGCTCTGGGGAGACCTTATAACAACCTTCCAATACCTAAAGGGAGCCTACAGGAAAGCTGGGGAGGGTCACTTTGTTAGTGAGTGGAGTGATAGGAAAAGGGGGAATGGTTTTAAACTAAAAGAGGATAGATTTAGATTAGATATTTGGAAGAAATTCTTCACTTTGAGGATGAGGCACTGGAACAGGTTGCCCAAAGAAGTTGTGGAAACCCCATCCCTGGAAGTGTTCAAGGCCAGGCTGGATGGGGCTTTGGGCAACCTGATCTGGTGTGAGGTGTCCCTGCCTATGGCAGGGGGTTGGAACTGGGTGATTTTTAATGTCCCTTCCAACCCAAAACATCCTGTGATTCTGTGAAAATACACAGAAGCTCATTTTCTAAAAAAAAAAAAATAAAATAAATCTTGGAGCTTTGGTGTATTGTTCAGTTTAAAACAGTGTTTACAAGTTTCTTTTTTTTTTTTTTTAAGGGTAATGTCCATGTCTGGAATGTTTTCTTCAAATTCAAAGGTTCTCCTGGCTCCATAACAAACCTTGGTTATGTGTTTATCAAGTTGTTACTGCTCAAGCTATTATTTTATGCACTATCATACTGTTGCATTGACTAAAATTCCTCTTTCCTCTCAACAAAAAATAATCTGCAATGCCCGAGAAGTATATGTTCAAGTACATGGAATACTTTACTTGTGCTGTGTCCAGTGAAAAAAATCATCATATCTTTGATACCTAAAATATTTTTGCCTTTTCTCTAGCTGTAGTCAGAGCATTGCCTTTGTTCTGTTACTGTTTTTGTAGTGAAAGAGTGTCTGGGAGAGGTGTTGGCAATCTGATATACTTAATGCATTCAGTTTCTTCCCCTATGTCCATCCAATGAAAATATGCTTCATTTCTCTGTTCTTTAGTATATGCAAATACATATATGGAATATTTATATATATATATATATATATATATATATATTTTTTTTTTTTTCTATGAGTTCTCCTGTGCTATTTTGGGTTCCTGTCCCAAATTATGATTAGAACAGACTTTTTTCTTTCTTTTGGTAGTTTCCAGTATGCTAAGAATCTATAGACAAGTCATCATGCTTTTATTTTATGACTTTTGTTATTGTATCCCTATTAGGTCTGGAGCTTTCCAGATGTAGCAACAGGTTTCATCACTGAACTAAATCTTGACATCTCTACTGATGCTTTGCACCAATGACAAAGTAATCCTGCCTTATCTTTAGTAATATTACTGTCACTATTTCCATGTATTTCAGATTTTTTGTATTGTAATAAACTGGATATACAATAATAAATTGGATAATAAATCCAATCCAGTTTGGATATGAATTGGAGCCCAAACACCAGGGGTTGGATCAGTCACAGGAAATAATATTTGAGGCTTTATGTGTATGCAAACTTAGCAATCTTGAAAGAGAAACTAAAAAGTATAAACTATAATCTCTTGCGAGTTCAGCTGCTAATTTGCAGAAATAAGCTGTTTTGAATTTTTTTTTTCTCCTGAAGTTATTCTTGTAAAAGGAAGTCCTCTAGGGATTATATATCTTAAATTACCTAATTTCTGTTCTAAACATAAATATTCTTATTTTGGTGTTTGTATGATCACAAATATAAATATTCACTTTTATTTTCTTTCTAACCACATCATATACATCTAATTTCCGCACAGGAAATACAATTACTGCCATTACTGGCATTATCTTGTAGTCATGTTTCAAATTTAAATTGTAGAAATACAGGTCTTTGTACATTTATATTTTTCCTATCCATGCACTTAGTTCTGATAATTATTACATATTAAGTGCAACAGAAAGCCAAAAACCCCTTAAAACACATTAATTACGTTAAAACTCGTTACCAGTGCTGTTCATAAAAGCTATGGGACATATGTGTCAAATCATACTAATATACTTTTCCAGTATGCTTCGCTTTCCTACCTTCTTTCTTCCATTGTGTATTTGACTACAAAAGGAACTGTTGTCTCTAATCAGAATAAGAAGATGACTACATCTTCATACATTTATAGTTTCAGTATACAATGAATAATGAACAGTTCATTTCCTGTGGTTCTGTCAAAATGTGATTAGTCTATAGTAGTTATATTACAAATGAAACTCTGGCGTTGTCTTCAGTTAAAAAAAAATATGTATCTGGCTCTTTGTTTACCAGAGTCGCACAGAGTAAAAGTTTAACTATCATGTCAAGGCTGTCTTCTCAATAACACAACAGGCAAACTTAAGTGAATTGGAGAACAAAGTACAAATGTGTTTGCAGC